TGCCACACAGTGGTAAACATGGCCTTGTCCCAACTTTTTTGAGATGTGTTGATGCCATGAAATTTAAAATCAACTTATTTTTCCCTTAAAATGCTAAATTTTCTCAGTTTAAACATTTGATATGTCATCTATGTTGTATTCTGAATAAAATATTGAAATTTGAAACTTCCACATCGTTGCATTCTGTTTTTATTCACAATTTGTACAGTGTCCCAACTTTTTTGGAATCGGGTTTGTATTTACAAACAAGATTTGAATGTGCGCAAGTGTGAATGTGAGTCGAGGGTAGCCAGGACAAAGTCTACTTTGTGTTACAGTTTAACTTGATGAATTAGATTTAGAAACTTAAAGCAATCACCAAATAAATAAAGAATGTTAAATAAAGTTAAATAAAAATGGACTCTGAAATTCAAAAATTCATGTCTAAATTTTACTAATACAAAAATATATATTTTTTTAATTTATAATATATAAAAAAAATTGACTACAAAATTCTAAAATGTCTACGTTTAACTAATAAAAATGTATGTATAAAATATAACGCAATATCATTTTTTTAATTTGTGATTTTTATAAAAATTGACAAATTCTATAATTATAAAAATGTATCTCTCTCTCTCATACATATACTTATATATATATATATATATACATATACACACACAAACACATAATTTAGAGAATATATAATCTATAGATTTTGATTTTGATATGCAAATGTTTGTATTTATTATTATTATGTGTATAGTGTCCAATAACCAATATGCAATTCGTTTTTTTTATTTACTTTATTATTTATGATTTTGACACTGTAATAAATTGTCTTTAGTCTGTAAGAAAAATATGCACAATTAATATTAGCTTTATTTACTTTTTTTTTGCAATTAAAAAGTTTTCAGTTTAGTGCATATTTAAGCATAAAATGATACGAGTGATATAAGTAATACATCATATGATGTAATTTATTGGTAGAACCACTATATTGAAAACGTGTGAAAATCAGTAATTCTGAGTCCTTTGAACTTTAATATTACAGATTTTATTGTATGAAAAAAAAAATCCATATTTCAGAATCGGAATCAGAATGAGCTTTATTGCCAGGTATGTTTACACATACGAGGAATTTGTTTTCGTGACAGAAGCTTCCACAGTGTAACAGAATGACAGTGACAGAACAAAAAACACAGATAATAAAAAATAAAAAATAAATAGAACAAGTAAAATAAGGAATAAAAATATACAAATCGACAATTGTATGTACAGGTATATTATGTGCAAATTGAAGTGTAGACTGAGTATGTGTGTTAGATAAATAAGTGTATGAGTGAATAAATAGTGCGTGTTCCACAGAAAAACTGAAATCACACTGCTTTGGAATGACATGAGGGTGAGAATGTGCTGACAGAATTTTCTTCTTTTTTGTGGGACTAGGGTAAACTCTCCCTTTAAAGGGCGAAATGTACACTGTAAAAAATAAGTGTAATTTTAACTGTAAAATTTCGTAAAAACGCTACGGAAAAAAACTGTTAATAGGTTAACAGTAAGTTCCCGTACTATATACAGGGAAAAACGGTAAAATATCTAACCAGACATTTCATGTAATTTTACAGTAAAATGCTGTTAATTTGACAGTTTTTAGAAGTAAAACTAACAAATCAATGTATAATTTACAGTCAAAAACTGTAAACTGATATTCCCAGAATTCCCTGCATGACACTTCACATTTGAAAGAATTTTGTTTAAATAATCATGTTTTTTAAATAGTTTTTGTTATTAGTTATGTATATTTGGGCTTTATGTTACATCTTCTGTTGTTTAATGAAAGTTGAGTGCATTATTGAAGTATCATGTGTGTTACTATGATGGTCTTTTGTGTTTGCATGAATGACTCTTGCACCTTCGATATATTAGTATATACTTCTGCTTGTGGCGAAGCTACTCGTGATGAGCTTTGATTCTTCATGTGGCTTTCTCTTTTACCACCTGCATTATTATGGTGGTTGTCAGTATGTTAAAGGTACAAAACAGATTTTAATAGCAGTGTGCATTGTTGAATTGACTGGTTTACATTCAAATTTTCTTTTTTTGTAAATTACAGTTTTATACTGTAAAATTTACAGTTTTTGGCCGTAAATGTGTTTACTGTTTTTCTGTATTTTTTACAAAATTATTCTGGCAACCACAGCTGCCAAAATTATTTTGTAAAAACTACAGATTTTTTTTTTTACAGTGTAACTGGTGAGATGTGAAGAGCTTGCAGCGCTGCACTCTGTTACCCATCAACTGTTTGCTCTGTTCACCAACACTCGAGGGCCTGGGGGTTTGTGTCTGGACTGCACAGCATCTGGCTGCTGTGTCCTAAAGCATGAGCTGTTTGTTATGAAAATAGTTGTGTGACAGGACAGCAGATGGCTGCGGCGACACTTCTAGTCCTACCTGAGGCTACGCAATGACATATACTCACAATATGATTCAAATCAAGCAGAGAGACTAGTGAGGAGGGGGGGCGTAATGATCAGCGACTGCTGAGGCCTGCCATACGTACTACATACCTGTTTTGACATTCAATCAAACTGCTCTTTTTTCACTCATAAATAAAACTTCTGTCATCATTTTCCATCATTTGATTTAAAACCTGTAGGATTTGTCCAAGTTGCTCTTTTTTATTGATTTCCTATGCTCTTTTCTGATTCATCCCGCCAGTAAAAAAAAAAAACCCGCACACCATGAAGTGATCCATGTGCCTCACGTCTTCTGCAGCAGTGTTAATTTAATATCATTGATGTGCTATTAGTTAAATTTTTTAATTAAATTTTAATTCAGTTTTTTTTCTTTTTTCCTTTAATTTTGTTTAGTTGTAGCAATTGTTGTGTTTTTTTGTCATTTTTATTAGCCAGTTTTTATTAATTGGTTTTTCAATATGTCTATAGTTTTATTTAATAAATAACATTTCATTCCAGTTATTTTAGTACTTGAAGTAAATCTAAATGAAATTGAGAAATGTTAGCTGAAATACAAACAAACGATGTTAAATTTTTTAAATATATTTTATTTCAGTTAATGTTATTTTGTTTGTAGTAACACATGTTTTCTGGTTTTCATTGTAGTTCACAAATATTATCCTTTAAAAAACAGCATGTTTATTTATTTATTTATATATATATATATATATATATATATGTATGTAATAAATGTTTTTGATTTATGTCTGTGCACCAGTGTTGTTATCATTTAAAATGAATTTTTTAAAATAATTTTTATAAACCTGGAATAAAATAAAATAAAAGATAAGTGTTTGTTGGCATTAGTTTTTTAGTTTGAATTCTTGACTCTTTCCCAGGTGCATGATGTAATGCAATGTAAAACAATCATTTCTGTTGAGTGTCAATTGCCGCAAAGAAACATATGCATGGTATGTGCTTTATAGGGTTCATTTGAAGTTACGTCTCGCTTCATTCATGCACCATTAGTGTCTTGCAACTTTGAGTTTCAAAATAGTATGTTCTGATGCTGACTGAGATATGGTTGAGTTTGATACGCTGTTACGCTGATGGGAGAATCAGTATTATGCATCAGGTCTCGCATATGTGGGGTGGACCATGATGATTCATTGTGCAAGTCTAAAACTGCATCACTGCTCGTTTATCTCACGCTAGGAATTCCTTGAGAGAAGACACACCCTTATTTTGCCTCGCTGAAGGTGGCAACCCTAAGGTCAGCAGTATTATAGGTTCCTGGAGAGGCCCGCTCAGTGTGGGGCTGGAATAGCTGGGGGTATTTCACGCAAGGCAAATGACCATTCTTCCAGTCATAAGGTCGCGTGCCATTGTTTGCATGCCTGAATAGGTCAAGACTGCTTAGTCAGGTTTCGTGTTTGTTTATGGCTGCTCCCACGCCATGCGACCGTTTTATCATTAACCACATCTGTGAGCACGAAGACCATTGGTCCACCTGCTCCGCTCACCTGCTAAACATAGTTCAAGTCAGTCGCTCCGTTAAGTTTGTTAATCTGTTTATTTGTGACTTTGTTAGGATCTGAAAGCAGCTCATATTTCAGCTTCAGCTGCGTGACTTCAGGAATCTCATACAGTAGCTCATTTGTCATGGAACAGATGTGTTCTAATTTGGGAGAATATTTTTGTTTATTCAATCCAGGATGTAGCTATAAGTGATCATTCCCATAAGCACTTGAACCAGCCAGGAATGTCCCACTTGAGATCTGGTACTGACCCGTCTGCTATACTGACAGCTTGGGCTGATGAGAATAAACCAAGCAATACAATGTTATAAGACCGGCTTTTGCTGTGTCATTATTATTGGTTTATTCAGTTTAGCAGTTAATGTTGATCAAGAGACAAAATAGTTTTGTTTTAAGGCAAAATGCATTACTGAAAGGATATCTCTGTGTGCGCGTGTGCTCGCGCGTGTGTGTGTGCGCACGTGTGTGTGTGTGTGTGTGTGTGTGTGTACGTGTGTGTGTGTGTGTGTGGGGGGATTGATTCGCACCTGCCGGACACTGGCTCTTCTCCACTGGCTCAGTTTTTGGGCCTGATGTCTGAATCTGCAAGAGTGACTCGAGTTGAATAAGAGAATAAGAAAGACTGTTAAGGGCACAAAGAGACTGTTATTCTCTGAAACCTCATGAGAAATGGGTTGAGCATGTCTGTGTTTGTAGACAGCATGAGAAAATATCAGAGTGAGTGTCACAAAACTTGTCAACAGCATGTCAAGGTCAGCTGAAAAGCGACAGTTAGTTATTATGGGTGAATCTCAAAAAAAAAAAAAAAAAGACCAGATTTTAGGAGGAAACACGAGAGTAAACGGTGTACCTGTGTTTAAGCTTTTCTTTGCCATTTTGTCCTTCAAATTAAATTTTTTTTTCATCTGTGGAAGTATCTGCATGTTGCACAATACAATTTCACTATTTTCTTAGATTTTATACACACAAGAAGTAAGTGTCATTAATTCAGCCGGTATTTCCCTGTTGTTGTGTGTTGTAGGTGCAGCTCAGAGCGGCGTAAGGAGAAATCTCGAGACGCGGCACGCAGCAGGCGCAGTAAGGAGACGGAGGTGTTTTATGAAGTGGCCCGCCAGCTGCCTCTCCCACACAGCATCAGCTCACATCTGGATAAAGCCTCCATCATGAGACTGGCCATCAGCTACCTGCGGACACGCAAACTCCTCACCTCAGGTGCACACTCACTCATCCACATGTGAACTGGACTGGGTATTAAAAAACACACACATCAACATATATTAGATTATTACATTTTAAATACATGCAAAAGTTTGGACATCACAGCATGATTTCAGCTTTGGTGCACACTATTTTTGAGACAAAATATGATAGATTTTCAATAAATCTGGCTTTAAATCTACCGTTTATAAGCCAAATAATGATCATTTTATCTGCATTAGCCATAATTTTAATATTTGTGCATCCCTAGTTATGAAGACATTGACATTATTTCACTATGTGGACAAACTCATACAAACAAATGGATAAATAAAAATAAATTAAATTATTATTATTATTATCATTTAATATTATTATTATTATTATTATTATTATTATTATTGGACATTATAGTATTGATTTGGCATTGACAAAACCTTGATTTTACTTTTAATAGGCATTACATTTTGTAAATTTTTAATATCTGCCATTTATCAGTTAGCAGCCAAAACATGAAAATAATATGTTTCAGCCATCATTTTAATATTTGTGCATCAATAGTCCAAACAAACAAACAAACTAACTCATACAAAAAAAAAACAAATAAAGTTGTTGTTGCTGTTGTTATTGTTATTGTTATTATTATTATTATTATTATTATAGTATTGATTTGGCAATTTGGCACTGACAAAACCTATTGATTTTAGTTTTAATGCACATTACATTTTAAGATTTTTAATATCTGCCATTTATCAGTTAGCAGCCAAAGCATGAAAAAAATGATAAATTATCTGTTTCAGCCATACTTCTAATATTTTTGCATCACTAGTACTGAAAATATTCTGAAAATGCTTTTTAATTTACTATGTGTTACGACTTAACCACAAAATAATAATGATGATGATTATAATAATAACTGTATTATTATTATTATAAAATTGCATACATACAACTTTACATGCATAAATCTTTATCTACAAAGGTATAATTTCAAGCATTTAGATTCAAAATGAATAGTATTAAAAAATCATTGTATTGTTAACATATAACTATTATAATGTAGGATACATATATTGTTTTGTTATTTTATATCAGTAAAGCAATATTTTCATAATCAAATCTGGTGGGTAACAAAACATGGAGCAAAATCCTATTACTGCATTGACTGGTGCTGCTCATTCTGCTGTTTTTGTAGAGTTATATTTGCAATTTGATAAAGGTTATCATCACATTGTGACTCCTGTGTTAGTACAACATCACAAACCCTGCGACTCTACTTGACGTCACGTCAAAGAAAGAGCCGTTTGGCAAATACACACTCAGCTGATAATCAGATTCTAAAGCTCTAGTTTGATCTCTTATCTGGGTTCACTGTCATTAGCACTGCACTGTTATGAGGAAATGTTTTAGTCGTGATGTCAGACTGCATTAAAGTTACTGTTGTATTATACAAATGAGGAGGCACTTTATGTAAGGACATAATTGCGTTAGTGAATATTGGACCTGCTGCAACGATGTCTGGCTTAATTATGTTTAGCTGTAGGTGCTAATATAACAAATCAAAGACTGCATGTGACGAATACAACAATTTAATGAAAACCTACAGAGTACGTTTCATAATGGATATGGCAAGCTTCAAGAGATATGAATGTGTGTGAGTGTTAAAGGGACGGTTCACGTAAAAGTGATTTGAGTGTTGTTATTTCCTTCCCTCATGTTTTTCTGGACAATTATGGTTTGCTTGCTTTCATGGAAAGCAAAAGGAGAAGTTTAGCATAATGTTGACAATGCCATTTTCTCCTGGATTGTGATTCAGGCTGTATAATGCACATAAAAGCAACATAAAAGTATCATAAAGTAGTCCATAAAAATTGTGCCATTGTTATATTAGTATCATTGATATACTATAGTTTTTCTTAATATTTTGAATTAGATTTTCCTTTTATATTTTCAGTTTTTACTGTAACTTTAGTTAGTATAAGTAATTTTGCTTTGTCTATATCGTTTTTTGTTGTTGTTGCTTTTACTTATTAGTTTTAGTATTTAAAAAAAAAATGTTTGCACTTCAGGTTAAACTAAATGTGAATGTGAGGTTTTTTTTTTTTCCTAAATATTAAATATTTTAACATTTTTCAAGAAATGATTTGTATTTATTTATATATTCATTAATTGATTTATGTAATAAAAATATTTTTATTTAGATTTATTTAGTTACATTTATTTAGTTAATAAAAAAATTTAAAAAAATAATAATTTAATTCTGAATTTATTGCTGAAAATATTTCCCTCCACTATAGCATTCAAATCTCATGAAAACATTATGCAAAATATTCTCTTTTGTGAAAATCATATTGGGTTTGGACGACGTGAGGGTGAGTATATGATGACCGAATGCTCCGCTCCAGATCTTGTGAAAGTTTCTTAGACCAGAACAGGTACGGCGAGAGGATGTGAGTGCGTTCGTATTGTGTGTGTCTTTATTATAAAATTAGAATCTCCGGAAGCTGGACAAAGGAGCCCCTGCATTCGACATTCCATTTTGTGTTTGCACAGACACTAAAGAGGACAGGGAACACTTAGTACGCACGAATTAGTACGCAGTCAGAACGCAGAATCAACCTCAGTTCGGAGCAATTGAAAGACTTTGAACAGTTCAAATGTTCATGTTCATGCTACATGCAGAAATGGAAAGAGGGAGGGAGGGAGGGGAAAGAGACATTGAAAAGCAGCCCTGTCAGTACGAGATGGCACATCAGATAGTGTTATCAGCAGGTCTGTGAGTTGTGTGCTGGAAGCATGATTTGTGCTTTCTTTAAGGCTGGCGCTCTCCATCTCAGGCCAGCCAAAACACAGGCCAACCCTGGCGCCACACATCCATCCATCCATCCATCCCTCCCCCTCCTCCCGCCATCACCCTACTCATGCTGAGGGTGCATGGGAAACACCTTTTACATAAGATCCCCAGTCCCTATGCACTGATGCTTACAACTGATTCGCTCTTTTCATTCATGGGCGGCTCAAAAATATGTTATGAAATAATCTATGTAATCTTGTTGAAATCAATGACTCACCGCTGCTGCTACAATTATGATACTTTACAGACTCAAAACATGATGGTTTCCTGTCATTGTGGACTGTATGTCATTTTAAGCGTGAAAACTATATGCAGAGAGAGTTGTGGGCATGTTTATCAGTAAGATGCTCCAAGATACCATTTCCTCCAGTTCATTCTGTTCAGAGTTCAGAGATCAGAGGTCTGTAGATGTATGTCAAAACCAGTTTCTGTAAGCTTTTTGTTTTGTTTTGGGTTGTTTTTTTTGGGTCTAATTGGGTTTTGTTTTCTGCTATTTTGTGGTGTGTGTGTGTTATGTGTTTTGTTTTGTGTGTGTTTTGAGTTTTTTGTGTTTTGTTTATTTATTGTGTTTGTGTTTTGTTTGGGTTGTGTGTGTGTGTGTGTTGTGTGTTTGTTTGTTTTTTGGGGGGGGTCATTTTATTTGTAATTTTTTGTGTGTGTGTGTTTTTTGTTTGCTTATTGTGTTTATGTATTTTGTTTTGGGTTGTGTTTTGTGTTTGGGTCATTTGTGTTGTTTTGTTTCTTTGTTTGTTTTTATGTATTTGTTTTCAGGATGTATTCATAAAATTGTGCGCCATTTGTTATTTTAGTATCATTGATATTTTATAGTTTTTCTTAATATTTTGAATTATATTTTAGTTTAATATTTTTAATAGTTTTGATTTATTTATTAGTTTTAGTTATTTTAGCACTTTAGGTTAAACTAAATGAAAATGTGTTTTTTTTTTTCATTTTACATTTATTTTATTTCAAGTCATGATTTGTATTTATTTATATATTCATTTTATTTTGTGTGTGTGTGTGAGTGTGTGTGTGTTTGTTTATTGTGTTTATGTATTTTGTTTTGGGTGTTGTGTTTTTTTTTTTTGTGTGTTTATATAAATGTTTTTTTGTGTTATGTCTTGTGGGGTTTTGTTTGTTTTTAAAGTGTTTTGTTTTGGATTGTGCTTTTAGCTTTTTTAGTTTTTGTTTTTCTGTTGTGTTTTTAGTTTGTTTGTTTTTGTTTAATTTTGCTTTACATTATTAACAACACCCATTACCTTTAGCACATATTATGTAAAGCAAAACATCCTGTAATCTTGATGGGCAAAAGTGTTGCCAGATATTCTGCATGACCTTGAGATATCAGTAGTCAATATCAATGTTTCTAGCCCAGGTGATCATATGCGCTTGTAGACGCATGTCTATCAGCAGCAAATGAATTCAGATTAGTAGACTTCTCTTCCAGATGATCAATTTCTGAAACCCAAAATTTGGGTGCAGTTTTGTTTCATCTCAGAATAAAAGCCGCAGGGCAAGAATCCTTCAAAGACGTAACTCTAATTCTCCTGGGGCCGCAGTCTCTAGACTCGGCCCAAATCCAGCCCTGGGCTCTCAATGGGCCTTGAGAAAGTTTCTTATCTGGAGGAAGCACACTGGAGCAATCACAGGCTTCCGACCCCCCCAGCGTGGAGCCGCTCTGTTCTCCATGTCTTGTCCAGTCCACCTCCCTCTTGAAGCTCTGCCAGATATACTGCAGGACTCGACCAAAGTCTGGCACCCCATCCATATTTCAGTGGTGGTATCACCAACCGAGTGGAAATTTTGGTTTTTCCAAATGCTCACTTGACTTAATCAACTATTAGTTTTATTGTGCAATCAGTTAGATATTACCATGTACTACTAGTTAGCAATGCAGTTCTTTCTTTGACTTGATTTATAAATTTCTTGTCTATTTTGTAATTTTCAAGTTGTAAAATAAAATAATTATATATATATATATATATATATATATATATATATATATAATATATAATTTACTACTTGAAAATAATGTGGTCTCAATCTTTTGGACCCCACTGTATCATTTAATGCTTTATGCATCAGAAGTCGAACATGCATGCATTAAAGATTGTGCTACCTATAAACTGTATCTTTACATTGCCTTGCATAAGTTTGCCCCTTCCCATACGTTTCTCACAGATGTGGGTTTTCCACATAACAACTGGCGTTTGTCTCTTTAAATTGAAAGACTGCACAGATTTAGTGCCGTCAAACAGCAGGGCATTGTGGGTGTCTGTGTGTCATTATATGTGGGTATTTGGTTTGTGTGTGTGGAGCTGAGGGCAGTGACAGAAGGGAGGTCAGTGTTGTTGGGAGGGTTCAGAGTAGCAGGATGAAGATGCTGTTGTTTATTTTGGACATCTGCCAAGGAATTAAGAGTCAGAACAAGACTAGCGAGTGTGCGCGCACTCACATGCACAAATGCATTCTCAAACTCTCGTGTTTGTGCCCCATTGCAGCCGGTGCTACTGCCACAGAGACGACAGACATGGACAGACTGATGGACAGTTGGTATCTGAAGTCACTGGGTGGCTTCATTAGCGTGGTAACATCAGACGGAGACATAATCTTCTTGTCAGAGAACATCAACAAATTCCTGGGTCTCACACAGGTGAGTACGAACACTGGCCCAGTAACGTACGCAGTGAAATGAATCACTATCCAGACAGATACTCTCACCTTTAATCCTGTTATTATTAGCTGTTTGTCTGTTCAGCATTCGTTTCCTCTGGGTTCACTTAATCATATGCAGACGAGATGCCATTATTAACCACAGCACAAGCCCGTTTCCTTCAAGCACTGTATGGGAGGAAGGATGTGTCACTTTTTTTGTACCCTTGCAGAAGCTCTTGGACTTATCTCATGCCTGCCAATTGCTTCCTTACACATGGCTGCTGTTTTGTAGAACTGTGGCCCGTTATCTATTTGTTATCTGATAAATTGCTATTATGATAAAGATTAAAGATCCATAGCCTTTGTGAATCACAAAAACATATCCAGGTCACATTTTACTACAAAAAAAAAAAAGTAAAAAAATATCCTCAGTAATGTAAAATAAATAGTGGTATATTATATAAAAAAAGTGGCAGCATTATGATGGCATTAAATATGGCAGCATAAAATTATGGTAGCATTTGCTGTATTACAGTAATAGGAATTAAATGAGGACCTTGAAAAAGAGAATCACAAGAAACATTAAGATATTGGGAATTTTGGGGGAAATGGTCATGAAAATAATCTAAATCGTTTCTTAATCATAATGGTTCTAAAACAGGATTCGTTTTCTTAATGCAAAATATTATTCATCTTATATGCACTATTATTCAAACATTTGGGGTCGGTAAACATTTTTTAATACTTGAAGGAAGTCTCTTATGTACGGAAGTTCTAAGCGGCCATGCATTATTATTTTTTTCCTTCTCGTGATCTCGACATAACGAGAGTTGTTTTCTCGTTATAACGACTTAATTCTCTCGTGATCTCGACATAACGAGAGTTGTTTTCTTGTTATAACGACTTAATTCTCTCGTGATCTCGACATAACGAGAGTTGTTTTCTTGTTATAACGACTTAATTTTTGTGTGATCTCGACATAACCGGAGTTTATGCACATTTAAATAATGACGTTATTTGTAATGTGCCTCTTTTCCTTATTATTAATCTTTATCGTTAATCATTAAATGTATATTGGTTGAGGAGTTGAATCCAAGCAGCTCTAAAGAATTTTAGAATAGTTCTGCATCCTGAAGGCGCTCCGCCTGTGTTTGCGGTGTTGCTTTGACCTTTTAAACATGCTAATTACACAAACAAAATGTTTAGCGTACTGTCTCTGGAAATATCA